TTCAGGGTTCAGGGTTTCCGGTTTAGGGTTCAGGGTTCAGGGATTAAGGTTTGGGATCGGGATTTTGGGTTGGATTTTGGGTTCAGGGAATGTTGGGGTTCGTGAACCCCGCTGTGTCCTTTCCCAGTGTGATGGCGCCCACACAGTCGCGCTTGTGCTGGATATCCATGCCCGTCGTGTGCACCTACGAGGCTACTTAAAGGATCATGGGACTTAGTAAGTAGGGTTATACTTAAGGTAACTATACTTATTATTTACTTATAACCCCAATTAAGGGACTTATAACCGTACTTACTAAGTCCCATGATCCTCCAAGTATGTGGGTTGTAGGAGTTAGGATTAGGAGGACCCTTGGAGATGGAGACCCTCTCAATAAGGTCCCCCTTTTAAGAGAGCCAAAAGTAGGGTCCCCTTTAAGGGCCCTTTTAAGAGAGCCAACAGTAGGGTCCCTTTAAGGGCCCTTTTAAGAGAGCCAAAAGTGGGGGCCCTTTAAAGAAAGCCAAAAGTAGGGTCCCCTTTAAGGACCCTTTTAAGAGAGCCAAAAGTAGGGGCCCTTTCAAGAAAGCCAAAAGTAGGGTCCCCTTGAAGGGGTCTCCCTAATGCTACCTAGGGGTTCAGGGTGATGCAGGGCTGCAGCCCCCCGGGTCTCTCGATTCCCAGTTCACGGTGCGGAGCTTTCGGGTTAGGATTTAGGGTCTAGGGGTTGAGGGGTTTAGGGGTTTAGGGTTAAGGGTCTAGGTTTAGGGTTTAGGGAATTAGGGGTTAGGGGTTTAGGGTTTAGGGTTTAGGGGCCATACTTTGAGATTTGGATCCCAGGCCCCTTAAAACCAAACCCCCTTGCACCCATATCGGCCGGAAACCACACTGCACAGCCTCAAGCAACCCTGACACAGCCGCTCAAAATGTGCTCCTTGCTGGCGGTGCCTGGTCGTAGAAGGCGAAGCGGCTGGTGGCCGGGATGCCGCAGTCAGCCAAGTTCAGAACTTCCTGGGTTTGCCTCTGCACGATCATCCGTCCGGTATTGGACATGGGGTGTCTGGGATCTAGGCTGTCGTGTGGGGGGTTGAGGCATGTGGATGTCCGAAGCTGCTGTGGGATGAAGGCCACTGACGCTGAGCGTTTAGGGCTCTAGGGTTTGAGGATTTACGGCATAGGTTTTAGAGTGCAGGGGCTTTGAGGTTTTGCCGGCCAGGGTGCAGGGTTGAGCGTTGTAACCCTCACGTTGTTATGAATACGAGTACTGCTGCTACGAGTAGGAGAAGCATCAGTAGTTCGCAGTGGTGCTGGTGATAAAAAGGCCAATGGGACGCGAGATGTATGGCGACAATGAATAAACACGAGGCTCTAAACGCCCTCGAGATCCCGTAAACCGCTGAATCCCAAGAGCTAACTACTTGAAAGCCCGCTGTCTTCTGCAACAACTAGGTTCCCCAGTAGCCCCTTAATAATGAGGGTACCCTTCTTCCTCGTATTTGGTTTTAATAAGGGAACCCAAAAAGAAAAAGGGCAAAAGGGTACTAGTGGGGAACCCTAAACCTAGACCGCAGCTAGCATACCCTAAACCCTAGACCCCAAACCCTAAACCCAAAAGGGTATTACTGGGGAACCTAGACAATCGGGTTCCGGGGCCTGAGAAGGATCTTCTTCGATCCTTCGTCATCGATGAAGACCACCCCCTGGAAGCTGCTTGGCAGAGTGGGGTGAGGCACCTGGGCATTGTCCAAGCCAGGGAGGTACACGGTTTAGGGTTTAGGGGTTTAGGGGTTTAGGGGTTTAGGGGTTTAGGGTTTAGGGTTTCGGGTTTAGGGTTTAGGGGTAGGGTTGAGGCACCTGGGCATTGTCCAAGCCAAGGAGGTACACGCTTTACGGTTTAGGGTTTAGGGGTTTAGGGGTTTAGGGGTTTAGGGGTTTAGGGGTTTAGGGGTTTAGGGGTTTAGGGTTTAGGGTTTAGGTTTAGGGTTGAGGCACCTGGGCATTGTCCAAGCCAAGGAGGTACACGGCCACGTCCTGGCTTGCCGGTGGCATGAACTTCGCACGGACTATCTGAAAGGAAAACCGATAGTAGTTAGAACCAGCAGCAGAGTCACAACAACGACTGGAAAAGATGGTTCCCTCACAACAGTAGCAATCTCAATAACAACTCCTAGTTCATGTCTACGCCCTCAACCCTCAACCAGAACCGTCCTTGTTGGACAAGCCGGTGATGAGGGCTCCCGTGTCTATGAGGGCGTGGAAGCCACCCACCGCAATGCGGTCAAGCAGGCTTGTGACGGTCCAATCAGCACCGAAGACTTCGAAGGACACCACCTCCAGGGTTCTGTATTAGGGTTTAGGGCTTTAGGGTTTAGGGTTCAGGGTTTAAGCGAAAAATCAGCAGTATCAGTAGCAGCAGTAGTAGCAGTAGCAGCAGCGGTGATAGAAACAGCAGCAGCAGAATGGTGGTCGTGGTGGTGGTGGTGGTCGCTGTAGTACTCCTCGTGGCCTCACAAAGACTCCCTACACGACCAGCCTCTGGGTTCGTCAGCGTGTGGACGATGCTGCCTGCACTTTAGGGGCTTTGGATTTTAGGTTTCGGAGTTTAGGGTATTTGAGGTTCAGGAGACTACGCTCCGGGGTGTTTCAGATTCAGGGCTTCAGAATGTTGGGCACCCTAAACCCCAAATCATCAACCACAAACCCTATAACCCGTACGGCAAGCCTTACACGTATGAAACCCGTCGAAATCTAGTCATAAACCCTCAACCCTAAACCCCCGATGCAAAACCCCGTCCATAAGCCCTAGACCCATTAACCCCCAATGTTCCCTATGCCATTATAAAATTCTTGTAGAACCTTTAAAGGACCCTTGGTTCTAATCCTAAATGCTATATTCGCTTTGTCACGCAACCATTATATACTAATCGTTTTGCATACGGAACCCTTAAACGAACTATAGGAACCCCTACTTGTCCAGTATCAGAGATTATCATGAGTAACTAAAAGTTAACCTTTGGGATTATATAGGGTTATAATACCCCCCAAAAAAAGTTAAAGGTTACCTACCCTACCACTAAGAACCCTTCTAGCAACCCTAAACCCTAAGCCCTGAAATCCTAAAACCCTAAAACCTGAAACACCAAAACCCCAACACCTATACAGGAATCCTAACATCCTAAGACCTGCGCAGTAATCCTAAACCCCCCGATTAAGGTTTAGGGTTTAGGGTTTAGGGTTCAGGGTTCAGGGTTTAGGGTTTAGGGTTTAGGGTTTAGGGTTTAGGGTTTAGGGTTTAGGGTTTAGGGTTTAGGCTTCCCCCCCGGCATTTTCCGGCACCTTCGCTCCCGGGCTCGAAGTCGCAGGAGCCGAGCTCCCGGGGCATCAGATCCGAGGGCGTCCCACTGAAGCCGATGCGCTCCTCTTTTGGGGGGGGTTTGCGGGGGGGATTTGGCGGGTTAGGGTTTAGGGTTTAGGGTTTTGGGGTTTTGGAGCTTCAGGGTTTTTTGGGGCTTTTGGGGTTTAGGGGTTTGGGTTTTGGGGTTTTAGGGTTTAGGGCTTAGGGTTTCGGGGTTTTGGGGCTTAGGGTTTTGGGGTTTTAGGGTTTAGGGCTTGGGGTTTTGGGGCTTTAGGGTTTTCGGGTTTGGAGCTTCAGGGTTTTAGGGTTTGGGGTTTAGGGTTTTGGGCAGTGTGTCTCGCGTGGAGCAAGACCAGGTGAGCGAAATGGCAGAGCTTTTACGTTTGTGTACTTTTGGTTTGTTTAAGTATCGTGATCACTCTGTGTTGGCCCGGAGACTCTGTGGAGTAGTGGCGCTCACAGGTGATCTTTTTCAGCCTTGTGGGCTCCCAGGCAACTGTGCGCAGTGCCTGTTCTCTATCACACATTAACACATTGACATTGACATTGGGGTTTTGGGGCTTTGGGGTTTTGGGTCAAGGGTTTTAGGGTTTCGGGGCTTTGGGGCTTTAGGGTTTTAGGGTTTGGGGTTTAGGGTTTAGGGTTTGGGGGGCTTAGGGAGCTCAGGGCTCTTAGGGCTCTCATGGCTCTTAGGGCTTTAGGTTAAGGGCTTAGGGGCTTCCAGGCTGAGGGAGCCTAGTTAAGGGTGTCGCACATGTCACCACACCAGCCTGGAGCCCCAAAAGCCTTAAATCCCTCACCCCAAACTCCAAAAGACCCTCATCCCTCATCCCTACACCCTACACCCTTGAACCCTAAACCCTAAAACCTAAACCCAAACCTCCCAAAGCCTATAAGCCCTGTAGACCCCAAGGGCCCCAAGCCCTAAAGGCAGGGAAGCACGCTCCTTGAAGAGCAGGGCGCCACCGAGATCTTGCCCCGACGACATGAGCTTCACCTCTACCAGGACCGGGCTTACCGTTTCAAGGGGTTTAAGGGTTTAGGGTTTTGGAGTTTTCGGTTTAAGGGTTTAGGGTACAGGGTTTTAAAGGTTTTAAGGGTTTAGGGGTTTAGGGTTTAGGGGTTTAGGGGTTTAGGGGGTTTGGGTTTAAGGGTTATAGGGTTAAGGGCTTTAGGGCTCCAGGGTTTAGGGTTTAAGGCGTAAGGGTGTAGGGTTTAGGCTTTAGGGGTTTAGGCCTTTTCGATTTCTGTCCTGTTGGTGTCTGCTGGGGTTTAGGTCTTGGGTTTAGGGACTGGTTGTTAGGGTTTACGATTTAGGGTGTCGGGATACTTAGCGTTCAGGGCTTCTGGGTTCGGGATACTTAGGTTCAGGCTTCCGGGCTTAGGATTGTTGAGGGTTAAGGGCTAAGGGTTCAGGGATTATAGATGCAAAGGGGTTAGGGTTTAGGAAATTGGGTCAGGGCTCAATGTGTTAAGGGCTTTGCAGAACTACTGTCAAGGTGTAACTGGTTCCTCAGCTTTCTACATTAAGGTTCAGGGATCACCAGATCGACCCGAGAGTAATGTCGACAGCGAGTGTGGCCGTAACCGTATTTGTAGAATATTTCCGAGCACAGGAGCCAAAAGAATCCCGCCCCTATTAGCCAAAAGCCGTCAGACTGCAGTCTCCTCACCCTAAACTCCAAGACCCTGAACCTCTAAACCCCCGAACCCTAAAGCCCTCAAAACCCTTAACTCCAAAACCCTGCACCTCTAAACCCCCGAACCCTAAAGCCCTCATAAAAAAAAAAGCCTAAACCCTAAACCCTACACCCTAAACCCTAAACCCTACACCGTGATGCTGCCTCCTGGAAGCGGAGGTGCTCAGGGAAGACGATGGACTCCAGGTACCAGGCGACCACCTGACCATTCTTCCGGAGGAGCTTGAAGAGCTCGTTCATCTGCCTTTTTTTTTCTAGGGGGCCCAAGTCAAGAAGGGCCAATAAACGGAGAGTTTAGGGTTTAGGGTTTGGGGTTTAGGCATGAGGATCTGTCCTTTTGGTGATTCTCCGATTTCCTCCTTTCCAGGGGATTCTAGCAACCCAAGTCGTCTTCTTAGGGGATTCCCGTGCGTCCGCGGTGCCGGCGGTTGCTGCGCTCCAGCATGTGCAGCGGCAGGATGCGCACCTGCGCTGTCAGGGCCAAATCGGCCGGGACTGGCTTCCGTTTCACTCTTACACTCTAATACTCCGAGGAATCATCATTAACCGTAACAACAACAGTAATGCCTGTAGCAAGGGCATCAAAAGCACAAATAACAACAATAGTGATAATGCTGATGAGACTGCCAATGTTAACGCTAATCCTAATGCTATCTTACTGTAGTACTATAGCACTGTACTACTATGCTACTATACTACTCACCATAATACCAATGCTAGATAGTCAATGTTTTAATACTACAACACTGTAATACTGCAATACTTATATACTTTCATGCTATAGTACTATGATACTGTAATACTATGATACTAACACTTATTATAATGCAGCAATATTGTAATATTAATCACCATAACCCTCTCTCCATTTGTTTGCCCCTCCCAGCCTTCTTCTCGCGCACCTCCGCCGCTCGCGCCGCGGCAAGCTCTTCGGGGGTGAGGTCCTTGGGCTTAAACCCTAAACCCTAAACCCTAAACCCTAAACCCTAAACCCTAAACCCTAAACCCAAAACCTTAAGGCTAGAGCCTCATGGGGCTCACAGGGCCTAGGGCTTTAGGGGCTAGGGTGTAGTTTACGGTTTAGTGTCTAGGGCTTAGAGTTCAGGGTGCTGCTGCGCACGCTGCCGCACGCACATGCGCACATGCATATATTTGTCTCTATCTTTCTTTCTATCTGTCTACCTATCTATATCTTTCTTTCTTTCTATCTGTCTATCTATATCTTTCTTTCTATCTATCTGTCTCTATCTTTCTTTCTATCTATCTGTCTATCGGTCTATCTGTCTGTCTATTTTCAGCTCCCTCCGGTCCTGGAGCTCCTGGCGCCTGGTCGCAAGGACCCCCCCGGAGCCTTCGACCCAGCGCTTGAAGAGCCTAGCTCGTGGTTGGGATCGTATTGAAAATATCAACTTGTGGGTAGTTCTCTAAATTAGGGTCCCTTTTAGGGTCCTTTTTATAAGGGTGCCGTACTATATTGGAGACCTAAAAAGGGACCCTAGTTTAGAGAAGTACCCTTGTATTCCTTACTGGTTTAAGTAGAACCCTAAGCCCTAAACCCTAAAGTGTTACCCAACTATGACAAAGGAGCATCGCCGTGGGCCGCTCCGCAGCCACGCCGGGCTCGGCTTCGAGGTTCGCCACCAGGAGGTCCTTTTTGGGGCTTTAGGGCGTCTAGGGTTTAGGGTATTTAAGGTTAGGGGTTAGGGTTGAGGGTTTTCTAGGGCCCAGGGCTCTTCGTAAGGGTCCAGGAGTTTAGGTTTGCGGGTTTGAGGTTCGCGAACAGAAAAGTCCTTTCGGGGCTATTTGGGCCGATAGGGGTCTTAGTACGGGTCTAGGAGTTTAGGTTTATGGGTTAAGGGTCTTCATGTGAGTTTATGTATGTATGTATGTATGTATGTATGTATGCATGCATGCATGCATGCATGCATGCATGCATGCATGTATGTATGTATGTATGTATGCACGTATGCATGTATGTGTGCATGTACATATATATATATATAGATATACACCACTATACATGTATGTCTATGTCTATGTCTCTGTCTATGTGTATGTCTGCGCCCATGTCCATGTGTATGTCTACGTCTACGTCTTAGTCTACGTCTATCTCTATGTGTTATATGTATATATACACACACGTTTTTAATGTGTGTATACACGTGTATATGCATGCATGCATTACATTACATTACATGACATGACATAACATGACATGACATTACATTACATTACATTACATTACATCACATTACATTACATTACATTACATTACATTACATTACATTACATTACACTACGTTAAATTACTTTACACTGCATTAAATTACTTGACGTTACATTACAGTAAACTACTTTACATTACATTTATGCATGCATACATACATACATACATACATACATACATACATACATAGATACAATGCAATGCAATGCAATGCGATGCAATGCAATGCAATGCAATGCAATGCAACGCAACGCAACGCAACGCAACGCAACGCAACGCAACGCAACGCAACGCAACGCAACCCAACCCAACCCAACGCAACGCAACGCAACGCAACGCAACGCAACGCAACGCAATGCAATGCAATGCAATGCAATGCAATGCAATGCAATGCAATGCAATGCATGCATACATACATACATACATACATACATACATACATACATACATACACACATACACACATACACATAGAGAGAGAGAGAGAGCAAGATATACATGTACTTTCCTCCAAGGGTTAGGAGTTTAGGGTTCAGGATTTCGGATCTATTGCCACCAGAAAGTCCAGGACGGCGTCGAAGTCCGACATTCGGAGCCCCTCGTAGCGGAAGCTGAGGAGGGTCAGGCCGATGGTGATGTCCGGGTGGGCGAACTCCGAGGACGGCGACGGGACATCCTCTAAGGTTTAGGGTTTAGGGCGTTTAGGGTTTAGGGTTTAGGGTTTAGGGTTTAGGGTCTAGGGTTTAAGGTTCAGGACTTAGGGCTGCGAGTCTCGGGTTTAGGATTTGGGGGGCTTAGGATTTAGTGTTTAGGATTTGGGGTTTAGGGTTTAGGGCTTGGGATTTAGGATTCAGGGTTTGAGGTTTAGGGCTTGGGAGTTAGGATTCAGGGTTTAGGGCTCATGGTCCTTGCCGATGAAGGGGATGGAAAGCTTGGCACGCGTCATGGGCATGCCGGGCTGCTTGATGAGGGCCTGCTCTACCTGTGTGTCGGTCATGATACCGTAGGTGACCTGGGTTGTAGTTGAAGGGCTTCCAAAATCTTGTTGGAAATTGATACCTCTGCAGGACAACACGTGAAAAAAAAACGAAACCCTAAACCCTAAACAAACCCTAAAACCCTAAACCTGAAATAAACCCTAAACCCGGAACCCTAAACCCGAAACCCTAAACCCTAAATAAGCCCTAAACCCTAAAGAAACCCTAAACCCAAAACCCCGAAACCCTAAACCCTAAACCCAAAACCCCTAAACCCTAAACCCCAAGTGCCAGCGAGTGGCCCTGTTGATCTTCTGGAGCACGTGCGGCAGGAAGATCGAGAGCCAGTCGGCGGACAGGTTGAGCATCTGGACGTCTCCTTACGTTCCCCAATAAAGCCATGGAAATGAAAGGTTAGGGTTTAGGGTTTAGGGTTTAGGGTTTAGGGTTTAGGGTTTAGGGTGTAGGGTTTAGGGTTACTACTAAATTATAAGAACCCAAGAAGTTTATCAAGGCTGGGTATTGGCCAACTAAGTCTCTCTTGGGGAGCATCTCCACCCGCTTGGCCAGCGGCGAGTCGGGGGCGGCCACCTGAAACCGTCAGAAAAGACCCTGAGTCGTAGGGTTTAGGGTTTAGGATTTAGGGTTTAGGGTTTAGGGTCTGAAACCGTCAGAAAACACCCTGAGTAGTAGGATCCTCGATTTAAGGCCCAGCTCAACCCCCTCCCCTCCGTCCGCAAAAGCACACATAAATATGCTATCTCTGCATGTTATATATATATATAATCTTGGTTAACTCCCACCTGCCGGAGGTACTCTCGAACCTCCTGGTCGGAGAGGCCACCGTCGATGGTGCCCTCGCGCTCGTGCGCGAAGCTGCGGCCAACATGCTCGGAGGCGAGCCACAGGGACATCCAAGAGCACATCACCTCCTTCAGCCTTAGAGTTCTCTGAAAAGTGTTAGTCTTAGGGTGAAGGGTTCAGGGTTTAGGGTTTAGGTTTGAGGTTGAGGGTTGAGGTGTTAGGGTATCACCTCCTCCCTCAGCCTCAGCTGCTCTGAAAAGTGTCGGGGTTGAGGGTTTAGGCTTTAGGGTTGAGGGGTTAGGGTTTAGGGTCCTCCTCCTTCAGCCGCAGCTGCTCCTGAGAATTAGACGGTGCCTTACTTTTAGGGGCCCTTGCTGCATGAAGACTACTACTTAGGGTCTATATCAGGGTACCATGTTTGGGGCTCGTCATTGCATGGATCCTTCTACTCAAGGTTGCTATTGAAGCCTTTAGATCTAGGACATTTTCAGGTGGGTAGTTGCCGTTATAGGGGCCTTATAGAAGGTTTATATACCTTATAGAAGCTTTCTAGAAGCCCTATATACCCTAAACTCCCCACCTGTAGTCTCCTTTAATTTTAATACTTAAAGGATCATGGGACTTAGTAAGTAGGGCTATAATTAAGCTAGCTATACTTACATTTGCGTATAACCCCACTTAAGGGACTTATAATTACTAAGTCCCATGATCCTCCAAGCAAGGTATCCTGCTCTGCGCTGCGGGCTGGAAGAGGCTTGGTCCCGCCAAGGCACTGAAATGGGGGCGCACGGTGAGGAATTTCGTCTAAATCCTGAACCCTAACCCTAACCCCAACGCTAGATTAAAGGAACAATAGGAGGGACCCCTAGAAGGGACCCCTAATCCAAATACCCTATATAACCCTTATATACCACCTTATATAGTCTCAGAAAGCCCCAAAATAACCCCAAGGGTCCCTTTAAGGGTCCCTCCTTTAGTCCCTTGATAGATCCCGGAATCCTGAACTCTGAAACCCTAAGACCCTTAAACCCCGAAACACGCAAACCTCAGAAGCAGCTTCTCGTAAACGATTGCGACGGAGAGCCCCTCCAAACCGGATCTCGTTTGTGATCTTCACAACCTAAACCCCCTAAGCCCCTCAAGCCCTAAACCCTAAACCCAACCCCTATAATATAGGGGCCTTAATAATTTCAATAGTTTTTGGGGCCCATGATACTATTATCATAATAGGAGTATTGGTAATCATTTAGGCCTCTATATTCAAGAGCCAGGGTGCTTCTCCAACCCTAAACCCTAAACCCTAAACCCCTATAAAGTGCCAGGGTGCTTCTCCTCATAGAACTCCAGGTTCAGCAAGACCAGATGCGGGCTGCGCTGCATTTTCAACTCGCGGGTCCCGTCGGCGACGGTCTTCGCGATCTGCTTCAGGATGTCCTGTTAGGGGCTTAGGGTTTAGAGGTTTAGGGTTTAGGGTTGAGGGGTTAGGGTTTGGGGGTTTAGGGGTCTAGGGGTTTAGGGGCTTAGGGTTTAGAGGTTTAGGGCTTTAGGGGTTTAGGGTTGAGGGGTCAGAAGTTAAGGGTTTAGGGGTTTCGGGGTTTACGGTTTAGGGGTTTAGGGGTTTAGGGGTTAGGGTTTAGAGGTGTTGAGTTTAGGGTTTAGGGTTTAGGGGTTTAGGGTTTAGAGGTTTAGGGTTTAGGGGTTAGGGTTTAGGGTTCTGGGTTTAGGGGTTTCGGGTTTAGGGTTTTGGGGATGTAAGGGTTGAGGGTTTGGGGTCTGAGGCTTAGGGCTTAGAAGGGTTGCTGCGGGGTTTAGGGACAAGGGGCCTAGTTTTTTATGTTAAGGGTTTAGGGAGTTTAGGATCCTTGGCCTGACGATTTCGGGCTTGGAGTTTCCGGTTTTAGCAAAGAAGGAAGCGAAAAGATTTCTCCGAACCACCATCCGAGCTCAGAAACCAACTGGAACGCAAGATCTTTTAGGGTTTAGGGCCAAGGGTTGTTTTGGTTCAGGACTTGGGTGACCAATCATATTCGTTAGGGTTCCTTATTCTAAGTATATTATAAAAGGGGATCAAACAAATCGAAGTATCTAGGCTCCTACAAGAAAGGCTTACCCTAAACCCTAAACCCTAAACCCTAAACCCCTAAACCCCTAGACCCCTAAACCCTAAACCCTAAACCTCTAAACCGTAAGCACGCTAGATCCCAACCCCCTCATCTCTGGGCACCTAGGCCCCGAAGCTGCAACCCTGACGGGCTCCTGCAGAACCCTAAAAGACAAGCGGTTTAGGGTTCAGGGTTTGGGGTTTAGGGTTTAGGATTTGGAGTTTAGGGTTTGGGGTTTAGGGTTTAGGATTTGGAGTTTAGGGTTTAGGGTTTAGGGTACCTTATAAAGCCCTATGGAAAGCTGTAGAACCCTATAGAGCCCTATAGAACCTGCGAGAACCTTTTGCAAGCCCTTAGAGAAGCCCCCTAAACCCCAAACCCCAAACCCTAAACCCCAAACCCTGGACCCTTAAAACCTAAACCCCCGACCCTAGACCCTAAACCCCAGACCGGGTTTAGGGTTTAGGGTTTAGGGCCTAAACCCTAGACCCTAAACCCTAAAACCTAAACTAGTTCATGGTTGGGGTAGTATTAAAAAATATAAATTTCTATTCCTTATTGGGTTTAAGTACCCTTAAAAATGTAAAATGTTACCCAACTATGACAAAGTTTAAACGCTAAACCCCAAACTTTATAGGGGCTCTCCAGTCGTGAAGGCCTTGGCCAGGGCGCTGTCCGCGAAGCGCTCCGGGGGCGTGAGCTCGCCGTCCTTACCCGCCTGGGAGAGGGTTTAGGGGTTAGGGCTTGGGGCTTAGGGGTTTTAGGGGTTTTAGGGGTTTTAGGGATTTGAGGGTTTAGGGTTTAAGGTTTAGGGTTTAGGTCTTAGGGTTTAGCGTTTAGGGGTTGATGGCTGTGGGTGCGGATAGGAAAGATTAAGGCAACATGAAGCCCGGGGTTTGGGGTGTAGCGATTTAGGGTTTAGGGTTCAGGGTTCAGGGTTTAGGGTTTGGGGTTTAGGGTTTAGGGTTTGGGGTTTAGGGTTCAGGGTTCAGGGTGCAGGGTTTTTGCATCTAAGCCGCGGTCGAGCGGAGGGAGTTGAGGATGTATTAAAGCCATGGCACCCCAACTCTAAACCCTAAGCCCGAAACCCTATACCCTAAACCCCAAACCCTAAACCCTAAACGTGGCGCTCTAAAGAACATCCTGGCCGGCGCTTAGACCCCTCGAGCAAACTGTGCTTAGGTTACCTCACGGTAACCAAGCCCCGTGCAAGCCCTCCGCAGTGACCTTCAAGCCTGAACCCTACACCGACCAACTTCTTACGTCTCTAATTTCCCCTAAACCCTCAACCGTAAACGGCAAGGATGGTTTCCCGCCAGGTTGCCTGAAGCTCGCTGATGAAGATGCCTTCTAGCCTGGGCCGGTCAGGGCTTAGGGTTCTGGGCCACGGTTCAGGGCTTTAGGGGGTTTGGGGTTTAGGGTATCGGGATCAGGGTTGAAGCCTCAGGGCATAACTCCTTGCAAGAGTCCTGTGGTGATGCCTCGGAAATGGCCGTGTAAAGCAGCCCCCCGACTCACTGAAGCGTTAAATCCCGAACCTAAACCCAGCCCGGAGCTCCAAAACCAAAAACCCTCAAAACCTGATATAGGGGCCTTATAATCATTAGAATAGTGTTTGGGGGGGTACATTCTACTAAAAATCGAATAAGGAACCCCCAAAATAGTATGGGTAGTTATTAAGGCCCCGAAACCCAAACCTCCGAGTTCTCAAACCGAGCAGCAGGTGTAGCGGGATTTGCCAGCGGTGCGGTGCGAAGTCGATGAGATTCTTGGGCCCGATGGGGAAGTTGAGCTCGCTCCGCAGGGGGTGCAGAACCAGGTCCACCTGTCCATTTTATAGTCTGGAATAGACTCGAATAGAATTCTTATCATACATAAATACACAACACATACATCTATATATCTATATATATATATGTATACATATAGATGAGAAAAGGCTTCGCATAGTTTGCAGGGTGCCATAAACCCTAAACCCTAAACCCTAAACCCGAAGACATGTACTGCAGTGGGATCTACGAAATTCAGGGACGTAGGGTTTAGGATCTACGGGTTCAGGGAACCTTTGCCCCACCTTAAAAACCTGATCCTGCACCCTAAACGCTCAAAACCCTAAACCCTAAAACCCTAAACCCCGAAAACCCTAAAACCTTAAACGCCCTAAAGCCTCAAACCGTAACCCAGAAACATCCAAACCCCACTCGAAACTTGAGGGCTTCAGAAAGCTCACCTCGTCGATCATGCACACGCCTTTGGAGAAGACCTGCAGGGCCCACAGCTTTTGTTCCGGTGGTTTCGGTCTGGGGAGTATAGAACAGCCTCGCTTCACGCTCTACTGCTTATATATATATATATACATATATATATATATATACGTAAATACATACATACATACTTTCACTTTCACTTTCCACGTCGCAAAGTCGTGCCTTTGCTACGAAAAGAGGAGGACAGGCGCCAGGGCCCGGCTTTGCTGTGCATTGCACATCCCCCCACCCACCCAGTCGAAGGTCCCCGGTGCGGACACCCAAAGCGGGACCGGCCATATTATCGGCACTGCGTGTAGAAGAAAAGATACATGTCACTTTGAAGAGCTTTCGTGGCCTTGCTCGGGAGGATTCTCACCGGCTTGGCATCGTCAGCAAGGATGAAACCATTGGTAAGTTCATTATAGAGCAGTGCTTGATAGTGGCCATGGTCTGGGGCGTCGCCCAGATGTACAACCACTGAATTAAGCTTGAGGACGATCTCATGACAATGCAGGGATTCACCAAACTGCGGAAGGCGAAGAGTAGGAGTAGGAACTATCTGATACCTACGTTTGGTCACAAGGCGTCCGTCCGCCTCAAAATGAAATCTGCAAGCCTGCAACACCAGCGCTGTAGGTGGCAACAGTGCCGCATGTACATGGGTCTGCCGGTGCCACTGATCCACAAGGTCCTGAACAGTAACCACCCTAGAACCATCCTCAGAGGCCTCACCGGGAGACACAAGGACGAGTGGAGCCGACTCGCCAGCATCAGCTACTGTGTGACCTCTCGGGCCAGGGTGATTGAGGTCCCGGGCCTGCCAAATCATCTCAATCTTCTGACGACTCAACAGGGAGCTGCTGACAAGAAACTGCAGAAACTCAGCAGCATCATGTTGCCGGCCCGGCGATTGCCAGCCCCGGGTGAGGGCAACCCAGACAGGGTGTTGCCAAAGATGAACTGCGGCCCGGCCAGAGCGCTTAACGATCCCCTTAAGGAATTCACGATAGTCAAGTTGGAAGATCTGGTGGTCGTCGGCCAGGTAGCAGCTCATGTGCAGCAACGACCGCAACACCGAATTGGCGTAGCAGTAATTTCCCCGGTTCCCTAAGCGCATCGCCCTCACTTCGTCACGGCTGCAAGGCGCTTCGCCAAGGCGCTCAGGTGGAGACGCTCGTGTCGGAGATAGCCGCCGGTGGCCATCCAGGCAGCTGACTGGTTGAGCTTGTGCAGCAGGTTCCAGGCCTCGTTGGCTGCCCCCGTGCGGAGTCCCAGCTCCAGGAACATGCCGATGCTGGGGGAGGCATACTCCTCGCTGAGCTTGCGCATGCCGTGGAACCGGTTGATCACCAGTTCCTGAGAGCTCAAGACCAGGAGGCGGTCCATGGCCTCTAGCACCTCCTCGGGCTTCAGAGGTGTCACTCTGGGGTCCTTGACGTGGCGCTTCTCGGTGGGGTCCCAGCGAAGGCCCGGAATCATCGCCGGTGCTTCCGTGAGGAGGCCCCTCTCCAGAGCCTGGGATCGCGATGAAGGCGTCTCCATCATCTTGTTGAAGCGCACTTTCGTCATTTCGATAAAGTGTTGGAACATGATGACGCGTAGCGGGGCCTTGAGCTGGGCCGGGTTCTCCGACTTCGTGCGATGCCATTGTTCTCCAATGGCATATAGAGATCTCGCCAAGCTGTCTTCTCCTTGAGTCTGGAGGAAGATGACATACGCTGTGTCTTGGCGGCATATGTTCAATTGCACTTCTTGCCTCAACACCAGCGAGGTGAGCATCGAGACGATGGCTTTCAGTTCGGCCAGCTGTGACTGGTCGTCCTCCTGCCTCTGCCCCCTCTGCAGTCGCCGTGGATCCCGTTGTGGGCCTTGGGGCTGTCTGCGCGCCCACTCGCTGCCGTTCCAGGAGTCGTTGGAGCGATCCCAGTTGGCGCCCTGTGACTGTTGGGGTCTCCTGCCTTTGCCTCCTCGATGGCCGCCGTGTTGTGTACCCTTGGGGCCCGGCTTGGGCCATTTCTGTGGCCTGTGCTCGAGGGAGTCCTGTCCCCATTCCCCGTTCATCTCCTTGTCCGTGTCCATCGCGAACTCCTCCGGGAGATTCATGGCCGGAAGCAGGGACTTGAGCAGGCTGAGGTCCTGGGTGGCAGCCTGGAGCTCCGTCGGGATCGGCGTCTCGTAGTTGTTGAAGCTGCCGAACATGTTGCGCCACGGAGTTGCCGCTCGGTGTTGCAGTGGCTCCCGCCAAGTCTAGGGCCCTCCCTCGAGCAAGGCGCCTGTGGAGGTA